AAACTCATAATTTCACATTTGGTTTTGTTTCTAAAAATTAATAAGTAATAGGGAAACGGCAACTCAACAGAAACTTAGAGAAAGGACTTTACAAAAAGACACAGTCTTCATTCAATCTGAATTCTCCCTGATCATTAGAAATATCTGATGAGCTAAATTGAAATCCTCAAAGCTGAGATCCAGAAATACGTACTGATAGAAACTTCCCATTAATCTAATTACCAGACAGGTCTAAGAATGGCAATTATCAGTCTAAAGTTTGCAAAATAGTTTATTCATGAATGAAGCATGCAAATATTGATATGGAAAGAAATTACTCATTAAATAGGGATTGGTATTTTTAAAACTATCAAATTGTAGTAAAAATCGGAAACCTCAACTGAAATCATAAATGAGCTTTAAATCAATTTGAGCATTTCTTAATCACAGCTTGTTTTTTTTTCCTGTCTTTCAATGTACCACAAAATTTAATGGCTGATAACACTTTCAAACATATAGTTCACATATAATGAAAGATTGTTTTCTCAGTTGAGTTTTCCTTAAAGTATCAGATGTATACCACATATAACATTGGACTATTGCTGTCTATTTCAAGTCATTTTTTAATGTATTGAGATTTTTATCAAACGCAAAGTTGGCGATTAGGATGAAGGAAGCGCATTTATCTGGCCTGCCGGGTGTTTTTGCCGCCGCTGCCTGTTGCTTAGCAGTCGACTAGTTTTTTTTAAACTATAGTCCGGCCCTCCAACGGTCTAAGGGACAGTGAACTGGCCCCCTGTTTAAAAAGTTTGAGGACCCCTGTCTTAAAGTTATCAGATGTATACCACATATAACATTGGACTATTGTTGTTTATTTCAAATTATTTTTTAATGTATTGAGATTTTTATCATACGCAAAGTTGGTGATTAGGATGAAGGAAGCTGAACAGGATTTATACCATTGGCTAATGCTAAAATGCATAAAACCCACAAGAAAATAAAGCACAGGAGGGGGATATGCTGTGCACACATCACGAGAAGACATATCAGACATGCGTGGAAGCAGGGTGGCAACAGTGGCTGAGAGGTGCCACCCTTGCCCACTTTGGGCCACATCCCCTATTCTGGATTGTCTAGTGCCTCTCCTCCCTACTCAGAGGGTTTCCCCAGGGCCTAAGCTTAACATTTCTACCATCTGAGCTCTGAGAATCACATCCTTCTAGCCATCAGACTTAGCACTGTGTGCCCTCTGATCCCTCTGTCTTCTACACACAGGGCATTGCCAAGGACTGAGTTGGGCCCCATAAAGCTTTGCCTCCGCCCACCCACCCATCCTGGTGCCAGTTCAGTCCCAAGTCCCCACGCAGGCTGCCTCCGATCCCCATCCCTCCCCTCCGCCTCCCCGCGTGGCAGCCGTCCTTGGGCACAGCCACAGATCCTGCTCTCCAAGGCCAAGCTCTGGCCACCCCCTGCCCTAACCCTCTCCTCACTTCCCCGGACCTTTCCAAGGTCCCCAGAACTGTCTTGGCAGCTGTCATTCACACAATCAAGTGTTTCCTCCTCATCTGAGAGCAGTGGTTCTCAACCTTCCAGCCCTTTAAATACAGTTCCTCATGTGACCCAACCATAAAATTATTTTTGTTGCTACTGCATAACTGTAATGTTGCTACTGTTATGAATCGTCATGTAAATATCTGATCTGCAGGATGGTCTTAGGCGACCCCTGTGAAAGGGTCATTCGACCGCCAAAGGGGTCGCGACCCACAGGTTGAGAACCGCTGTCTCAGAGTAATGTAGGTGCACTTGTTCTCCGGCTCATCTCAGCGGCTCCAGCGCAGGGCCCACCTGTCATAGCTGAACTAGCTGAGTGCCTTGGACACAGATGTATTCTTTAAAAATGTAAGAGCTAAAGTGTGTTTGTTTAGAAAAGCTGGAATCATCATCTGAATTTCATTTGTTTACAAGAAATACGTCACGCCCGGGTAGGCTGGGTGATGAGCATTTGTTTGATGATAACACATTCATCAGCTGCTACTGTGCTTTCTCCACGTGGCAGTCTTCTGGGTGCTCGGGAACTTGGCTCCTGGGCAGGGAGCTTAAGTGAAGGAACGGGGGTACAGGGAAGAGGGCTTGACGTTTTGTGAGCCAGACACGCGTGGGAGCAGGGTGGCAACAGTGGCTGAGAGGTGTCGCCCTTGCCCACTTTGGGCCATATCCCCTATTCTGGATTGTCTAGAGCAGTGGTTATCAACCTGTGGGTCGCGACCCTTTGGGGGGTCAAACGACCCTTTCACAGGGGTCGCCTAAGACCATCGGAAAACAGATATATAATTACATATTGTTTTTGTGATTAATCACTGCTTTAATTATGTTCAATTTGTAACAATGAAAATACATCCTGCAGGTCAGATATTTACATTACAACTCATAACAGTAGCAACATTACAGTTATGAAGTAGCAACGGAAATAATTTTATGGTTGGGTCACAACATGAG